TGCATGCATTTGTTACGTCTCGTTTAGATTACTGTAACAGCTTGTTGTATAAAATACCCGACAAATCAATAGCTATTTTGCAGTCGGTTCAGAATAGAGCTGCAAAGTTGGTTGCCGGTAAATTGAAGTTTGACCACGTTACGCCAATTTTGAATGATCTGCACTGGCTGACAATTGATAAAAGAATAATTTTTAAAATTGGTGTGATTATGTTCAAAGCATTGAATGGAATGTCACCGGATTACATAACTGATAAATTTACCAGAAAAGAATCAACTTCTGGTTTCCATCTTCGATCAGATGATATGAATCTCTTGAGGGTGCCAGTGGCGTTTTTACAGATTGGTTCGCGTGATATTGCAATCGCTGGTCCTACTGTGTGGAACAATCTCCCTGCACCACTAAGAAAGCCTGGGCTTCATCTTCGAGCATTTAAAAAAGATTTAAAGACATTTTTATTTTTGTTGAAATTACATTGAATTCTGTACTACTTGATTTTGTACTATTTTGTTTGTCACGTATATAATTGCTTTATTTTTGAGAGCGCCTGTGAGAACATTTAATGGGCGCTCTAGAAGTTATCCTTAATAATAATATATATATATATATATATATATATATATATATAATAGATATACACACACGACCGCACTCTTAAACAAAGCAAGTGTATGAATAATTGAATGAAAACACAACAAATTTAAGGTTCATCATTAAAGTTGAGCAAAAGAATTGAAACGTTTTTGTCTTTCTAATAACCTCACAGAAACAAACACATAGACATACATTCACACATATTTAACACACACGATACATACACATCTAAACACATATAAACACATGGAAAGACGTTCGTATATGTACAAAGAAACATATTTAAACACACACACATCCATGAAGAGGGCTGGCAAGTGTTTTACGTGAGAGGCCACAGTCCGCGGTAGTCTGGCCGGTGGGCATGTTCAATTGACCGGCAAGTAACGAGGGTCGAGGATGGAAGTTTTAAAAATTTCAGAATTTTCGAGTTTTGACCAACTATTTGTTTTAATTTTATTTTATTGCTAAATGTATTGCATGTGTATATATAATAATAATAGTAATTGGCGCCATAGATCCAACGACCTTTAAACTTTTTAAAGACATGTGCAAGTTGGGTTAGTACCAGGTCAGAAAGCAGCAAGGAACTGTTACTTTGCAATGAACTACATTACCCATTTGCTGTAATGAGTTTTGAGTGTGTGTGTGTGCGTGTGTGTGCGTGCGTGTGTGTGCGCGTGTGTGTGCGTCCGCGTGTGTGTGTGTTGTTTGTGTGTGTATGTGTGTAATGCCGACTATGAAATATGAATAATGTGGTTTGGTTCCACACAAAATCATACACAAACATACACATACACACATACAGACAGACAAGCACAAAGACAAAGAGACACATGCGAATTGAACGATGATTTCGTTGACACGTCTGATTGCCAGAAAATCTCAAAAGATGATGTCTGCCAACTGCACATGAAGTTTGATGGGAAGAACTTATGTGGTGAAGATGATCGGATGATGATCGGATGATGATGATGAAGATGATGAAGATGATGAAGATGTGATTATGGGATCATGCACTCATGCGCCATGAATTTTGCACTATTGCACGCAGTAGTATACACCTGATGTTGGCCGAGGTCACTTCAATGAAGATGGAAATGGGTGATGAATGAAAATGTAAAAATGATGATTGAAAAATGTAGAAATGATGATTGAAAAATGGAAAAATGTGAAAGTGATGATGGCGCCCAGTACCAAAAAAGAGCCGTTGATGTTTTTTGACGGGTTAAAATGAGTGATATCTGGAAGGAGTGCTGAGAATAAATGAACATATGAGTGAGCGAATGAGCGAACAAACAAAGGAACGAACGAACGAATGAACGAATGAAGAAAAGAAGGAATGAAGGAAGGAATGAAGAATTGAATGAATGAATAAACGTATGAACAATTGAATTATATGACTAAAGAAAGCAACTAAAAATAAAATAAAATTCTTTCAAACTGAAACAAAATGCGAAATTTATTTCCATGAACTCGAAAGTTTCCAAACTCATTCCTCGATTGATGCCTTAAAAACTTTCGCACAATCAAATCCAACCGAAACCTCTCTCAGTGCTGCATACTTCAAAGAAAAGTTGAAAGCATTTTAAACATCAAGAGCGTTGAGTCGTAAGCAGAGCTGACACTCACACACAACACACACACACACACACACACACAAACAAGCACACCCTACATACACACACTCACACACACATTTATACACACGAACAAATGATTACACATACACAAACAAAATGTACAGGCATGTATGCCATTTAATTTCATGCAACATATGTTCATCATAAAAGTTGCTTTAACGCATAAGAGCCAAATTTTAATGAGCCACAACAATAAATGTTGTCTAAAAACACCATGCTCAAATTCTTTAAAAAATTTCAGATGTGTTTAATAAATAAATAAATAATAAACTAAATAAATAAATTAATTAAATAAAATAATAATAAATCAATAAACACTGTTTATATTTCATATCAAATATTTTAAAAAGTTTTGAATCAAATTATGGAGCAAAAACAAAAAAACTAACAAAACAAAAACAACAACCCTCAACAAAACTATGATCGTCGATATCACCAACGTCATCATCACAACAACAACAACAACAACAACAACAACAACAACAACAACAACAACAACAACAACAACAACAACAACAACAACAACAACAACAAAACAACAACAACAACAAAAACAACAACATCATCACCATCATCAACCACATCATCAACATAAATCGCAGCTTGCAGACATATAAAGGTTCTGCACCGAAAAATGAAGTAACCGGCAAACGATTGTTGGTTGGTTGATAGGTTAATTGGTTGATTGGCTGGTTTGTTGATTGGCTGGTTGGTTGATTGGCTGGTTGATTGGTTGGTCGTCTGTTTGTTTGGTTGTTGATTGATTGGTTGGCTAAATGGTTGATTTGTTGATTGATTAGATGGTTGGTTGGTTGGCTAAATGAACGGATGATTGACTGGTTAGATGGTTGGCTGGTTGGTTGGTTGTTTGGTCGGTTGGTTGGATAGTTGGATAGTTGGTTGGTTGGTTGGCTGGCTGGCTGGCTAGTTGATAGGTAGAGTAATCAAAAAAAAACGAATAATATCTTAACACAACACAACAAGTCTCTTTAACTTATTCGCACTACATAAGTTTTTTTGTTTATTTGATAAATAGATGAATGGATGGAAAGATGAATGGATGGATGAATATGTTGAACTTTTTTTGATGTGGGCGCTTTTAATAGTTCTCAAGTTATTTACGCACATACATACACACCACACACACATACATACACACACACAACACACACACATACACGCACATACATACGTACATCAACACACATACATACATGCATACACACACATACATACACACACACACAACACATACATACACATAACACACACACATACATACACACACATACATACAACATACACACACAACACACACACACATGCACACAAAAACGCATAAACACACGCACACAAAAACGCATAAACACACGCACACACACATACAGAAATGTAACTCTAACAAGTAGATATGAATTAGTTTGTAAAGGGAGTTTTATATAGATAGAATTGCATCATAATACATAACTAATGACAACCGGAAGATAAATTTATTTTCTGAAAATGTTGAAATAATCACGGCGAACCAATCAATCATTCTGAATTCTACTTTCACAAAACCCCAACAAACATTCAACATACGATGCACTGCTTACACACGCACGCTCGCAAAATACCACCACACAATGACGTCACACAATCGTCTGCAATCCACACACACACACACACACACACACACACACACACACACACACGCACACACACACATACGAACATGTGAATCTAGCTGCTGAATATCAAAGTGGCATTGTGGGCATTTATTTAACATTCCAACCGATTCAATGATCCAAAAACAGCTGACCAAATAAATAATTAACTTCTGTTGTTTCAAGACAATCAACTTTTGTTACTTCAGTTTTTGATAATGAAGATAATTATAGAGATGACGACGACGATGATGATGATGATGATGACGACGATGATGATGATGATGACGACGATGATGATGACGATTATGAAAGGACCACTCAGAAAGACATCACCCCATTGAGAAGCTCTCAACTATGAAATTAAACATAAACGAAGTTGATGATAGCCGTGGTGGTGTTGATGATGATGATCGGGATGATGATGACGACGACGATGATGATGATGTTTGAAACCTTGAAGATGATAATCACACTGATAGAGAGGAAAATAATAAACAGAATAAATTCAATATAAATGAAGAAAAAAAATTTATAAATAAAAATTTAAAATTAATATAAATAAATAAAATTAAAAATAAATAAATAATTAATTAGCAATAGACATTTGAGTGGTCAATGATTAATTTGAAAAAAGCTCTTTAAAGTTTTTCTGAGGTTTTTTCTCAATTTGAAATCTGAAGTTTTTTAAATGGAAAGTCATTTCATCATTTGAACAAAAAAAATTCAAACCCTTTTTTTCCAAAATTTAGAGGTACCAACTACACACAAACAGCTTACACAAGTATATGCTAAATAACACGTCATAAAACATGTGATAGGTTGGGCTTTTGTCGAATTCGAACTTGGTCAGTGCGAAACTGGACCCGGCGACTTTAACCTCAGGCCATCGCCTCGCCCGAGCAATTATAAATTTGATTTTAAAATATTAATAACCAAAAAATTGTATAATAATAGAGAAAAAATAAAATTTTAACATCAAAGAATCGGCTTTGAAAAATTTTTCATCTGCAAAAAAGTTAGTTTCAAATTTTTCGAAGAATTACTCTAGTGTGAATTGTTAATTATGTGAATTATGTGAATTATGTGTGAATTATGAATTAATACTACTTCCCATGAGTTTCATCATGTGGGAAGTATTCAAATATTGATTTTATTTCAGAAGAAAATATGAATTTTCCATTTTCTAATCATGAAGAAATAATTTTTTTCTTCGTCATATTTGTAATCCCCGACGTTGTTATCCATCACGGAGGCATATTTTGGTAGTTGTGCTTGGAATATTTTAATGAAACGAAGAACGAAGAAGTCTGACGGGTGGGTGGGTGGATATTTTATGAGGGGGCTGACAAAAAACAAATTAGCATCAAATATAGATGTGATGAGTGAACTTCTAGGAAAATAACTAACAAAAAATCACCATCAAAACAACAACAAAACTAACACCACAACATACAGCAACAAAACAGCAACATTTTATAAACAAAATTGACATTAATATTTTTCTCAAATTGCAGATACTCATTCTACCTGGCGGCAGGTTAGCTCATGTAGTAGAAGTGCCATTTAACAAGCTGTTGCTATAACGAGATGACCTGGTTCGAAAACTGCCTCTCCAAAAATAAAAGAAGACTATCAAACGTCTTTTTAGTGTGATGAGATGTGTGTGGTGTGTGTGTGTTATGTGGATGTTGTAGTCTCGGTGTACGAATGTTTTTACTTGTATGAACAAAAATGATACGTAGAAATTTTGCTTATGTCAGAGCAGCATTATAATGAAATATCAAGGACCTATCAATAATAATAATCGAGTTCAGTGTTCTTCTCTTTAAAGATGCTTTCTTATCTAAAGAGCATTTGATTGTTACTAACTTGAAATATTTTCAATATAGTGAAGTGTTTACATCGCTTTTTTATTATTTACTTATTTTTTGGTAGCTATCCCTGCTGCTCAAGTTTTTTTTAAATTTTCATTGAAGGAAATGCATTTTTTCTAGCAAACTTTTCAAAAACAGATGGAAACTGATTAACTTTTGGTTTTATTGATATATTAAAATATAAAATAAACTTTTAGTAATTTGATTTTATGATGTCTTTTGTTTCGATTTTATGTAAATAGTCCAATAAAAAGAACTCAATGAGTTTCCATCATTAAAGTTTATGGAGGGAGATGAAAATTAACCTTTTAAAATGTTTGGAAAGAGCTGCATGACAAATAACACGTGATGCTCTTGTCACTTGAAGTTTGGAAATAAAACTATAAGACTGGACTTACATTTAATTAATAATACATTCATTCTTCACGCGGGGGTTGTCATCATGAGGTTGTTGTTGTTGTTGATGCTGTTGTTGATGTTGCTGTTGCTGCTGATAAGTTTGTTGTTGTTGTTGTTCATTTTGTTGTTAATGATGATGTTATTGTTGCACATACCAATGATCTTTCCTAGAATTTGTTGAGGTCATTGATATTAGTTACTAAGAACAGCATCGAGGAAAATACTGCACCTTGTGGAAGTCTTGTGGAAGTATTCTTGTCTTACTCAGGGTGTCTCCGAATTCAACTTTCGTCACACGATGCTGCATCTATACTTTTTTCAAAGCAGTTAGTCAATTTGGCATGCGGTAGTCAAGCATTTTCTGAAACAACTTGTCCCTCCATACAGTGTCGTACGCCTTCGAAAAATCATATAGCACTAGCACCGTTCTTTCACAGGGTCTTTGACTAAAAACCGCCACTTATGAATTGGGATAACCTCAAAAATTGATCTACCGTGTTTCTCCTAGCTCTGAACCCTGCTTGGTATTCGTTGATAATACCTTTCTCTTTCATCCACCAGCTTAGCCTGTTTGCGATGATCCTTTCCATTAGTTTACCCATATGTGATGTGAGACTAATTGGCCTGAAGATGGTTAATTATCCTTTTTCAATATGGGTATGATGATAGCTGTTCTCCAAGCTTAAGGGCATTTCCCTGCTAGTTTCTGCACTATTATTACGCCAATACTCTTTTCTTCACTATCTTTTTTTGCCTTTACTTCTCTTATAGCTCTGAAGTATTTTTTTGGCTGAATGATTGATTCATTTCATGTTTTGGTTGTTATTTATTCTTGCCATGCTTTTAAAAACCTCATTCTTGATTCTGCGATATTCTTCATCGCTTTCCATATTACAGATCAATTAAAAATGTCGTTATGTTGTTAAGAAGAAAAATGGAAAAAAGAGCAAAACCTCGACTGCGCATGTGTGAACGGGAGTTGGGTCAACATGTAATTACGTTCCAGCCAATTGGATTCAATTATTTGAGATTATTTTTACTCCAGTAAATAAATAGTCTCACTCTCTTAATGGATTTATTCCCTTCAGTTTCAAGATAGTAGGATTAGTGATGGGATTGAAATTTAAAATATTCTTGTGGTATGGAAAGTTAAATTTGTGTGTTCTTCAACTTGTCATATGTTAGTCGTATTACTTTTCTTACTAAAATTTGATTTGAAATGTTTTATTACGATTAAATTTACTTCAATTTTGGTTTTCAATTTTGTAATTTTTTTTAAATAAGTAAAAATAAATTTATTCCGTGTTGCTATTGCTCGGGGCAGACATGACGATGGGGCTGAAGCTGACAGAAGAAGCATGCATAGGTACGTGTCTAATACACACATGTGCAGATTTCTGAAGGAACCAGGAGTAACGGAAATGCATTCTCGACGGTAGGCAAACATTTTTGTATTTATTTTTTAGGCTGGTGTAGCAAATCAGCCCTTCAACATTAAGTTGAGATAAATGTTGTACACTCACCATCTGTTCTAGAAGTCTGTCTATCTATATGTAGAAAGAAGCATGAAGCACGCACGCACGCACACGAAGCACGCACGCACACGTGCACACACGCACACCGTTGTCATCCCTCCATTCCTCTCATCAACGAATTTTTATAATTGCTTTAAAACTTAGCCAACCTTTATCGTTTAAATATCTTTTTTTTATTTATATACATTACGTTGAAAAGCCCAGTTTGGAATGAAAAATTTCATAAAAACATTGCGCGATAAGCGAAAAACACTTTTCCATTTTCGCCCCCCCCCCATCAATGTAGTCTGGATCCGCCCTTGCCATGCACACCCGTAACATTGATGAAAATGTACACACAAACACTCTTCAGGAACGTTTGCATGTTTGATTCCATGCAGGAATATGCCGACAAGTAATACGAAGCACTCTGAAACAAGACTTCCATGCTTGATGTCATTTGTCATCGTAAAAACTTTTTTTAAATCTGCAAAGAAACTAAGAATTTTGTGGCACCCAGTCGATACGGGGGAGACAAATTTTTTAGGGGCATCCAAGAAGTGACACCATGTTCGTCTTCCTTCTATACTTACCTTCTCTCTTTCTCTCTCTTTTTCTCTTTCTATTTCTCTCTTTCTCTTTTTTTTCTTTCTCTCTCTATTTCTCTTCCTCTCTCTCTTTGAAATAAATCGGCAGCAGCAACAGTTAATTATAACCCAACTAAAATACATTTAGAAGTTAATCATTATTTCTACGTACGTTTAGTTTAACCTGGGTTGAAATGACATTGTTAAAAAGGATAACGTTGCATATGAGCTGGCTGCTACTGTGTTATTCCGTTTCGCGTGTTGCTCTGCTGTTACACGTTTTGAAATGTTGTGGTACATATTGAAGTACTGATTTGTCTCTTCAGAGCAGTTATAAAGATTCCTTCATTTGTCAGTTGCCTGCCTTTTTTTAACGACGCTGTGCCACATGCTGGAGATCGTTCACTTATAGTGATGGTATCTCATATTTTTGCCCCACGATTCATCCATTATTCCGATTCTGGTTACTACAAATGAACACAGATAAATACAAACAGATACAAACAGACACAAACAGATACAATCAGACACAAACAGATACAATCAGACACAAACAGATACAATCAGACACAAACAGATACAGTCAGATACAAACAGACACAAACAGACACAAACAGATACAAACAGATACAATCAGGCACAAACAGATACAATCAGACACAAACAGATACAAACAGACAAAAATTGATACAAACAGACACAGACAGATACTAACAAATACAAACAGAACCAAACAAAGCGTGTATGCGTGTGTTTTTTTTTCTTTCATTGAGTTGATTTTCATCGGTACAGCGCTCCGAACTAACAAAAATTGAAAATTTGGTTTCTCTTTGAGGCATTATTTTGAAGCTTTTGAAAGATTAGATTTTTATTCTGTTAATCAAACTCTGTCTGAGGCAGAAAATGTAACAACATGCAAGGTACGAGACCTGGGAAGCATGAAGTATGGTTTATAAAAAAAATTAGTAACATTAAAAGTTGAAATAAAATAAAATAAATGTTCAATGATAATATTATTATTTGCAATAATAATATTATTATTGAACAAAAACAATCATAGATTGAATGGATGTTTGATTTATTTTTTTTATTTAAATTACTAAAACTCTGTTTATTGCCTAGCAATCTTTTTCCTTTCAAGCCACATTTGACAAATGGCACATTTATTTTTAAGCAACGTCCCCACAGAATATGACCTAAATCTTTCAAACAGATGATTCATTTTTTATATAAACAATGTGAATAAGTAAATATAAATAATTTAAATTAATAAACCGATATTTAAATGTTAATAAAATCACGAAAAGTTTATGGAACTAAGCGATGCAAACTGATGATAAGGATGGGCAATTTTAACATTGTTTTGAAAATTTAAAAGATTTTTTGCAGAATAATCTCGTGCTAAAATTAAAGAATCTGCATATCTATATATGAAACTAGTGTTTTAAAAAATATCAATTGACAGCTTTTTTAAATGTTTTAAAATTAGAAATGTCTCCGAACCAAAGAACGAATTATTTCAAGGTTACTCGAATTTTCGGCACTTGCCTGTATGTACTTCAGGTAGACATCATTCTAACACTAAAACACTTTTTTTCAAGAGAAAATTAACAGGGAATTAACCACATGCAGACACAAACATCATCTAGATGTACGTACACATCTCGATCAGTGTTGTTGTTTGGCAATACCAAATTTTTGAGGTTCATTACATTGAAGAGTCTATAAGAAGAATAAAATAAAAACTGACTCATAAAAATGCACATATACGCAAACTCAAATCAGACGCAAGCACGCACATACACAAACACTCACAGAAACATATACTCAGGCATGCACGCACACACGCACAAACACGCACACATGCAAACATCCACACGTGTATGCTCTTTAAAAAGTATCCGAACCCAACAGCGGTGTGAGCAAGTTGGATGAGGATGAAGCAAATCATCTCTAACATTTGAAAGCCAGAGAAACTCATCAAGCCATGCAACACTTGCACAACAATTGCACTATGTAATTGAATGAAATAGAATATAAATTAACAGACATGTGGTGGGAAGAAATTAATTTATCATTTTGGATCATCTCGTGTCTGTCTGCCAGGTCAATGTTCTTTCTTCTCTTTTTTGTATGCAGTTGTTGCTGGTGATGTCCGGTCATAGAGTGTTTGGCTTGTTTATACCTCCAAGCACATTGCTGAAACTGACGCTTTGTTGTTTTTGCTTTTACTGTTTTTGTCAACCACAATGACATCAATATCAATCCACAACAACAACTACAATATCAGTATTGTTGTTATTGATGTTATTGTTGATGTTGTTATTCATTTTATCAAAGTTGCCACTACCAGAGTGCCGAAGTTGGGCATGTTTGAAAGCCCGGAAAATGTTATTTATTTTCAAAAAAAAATTTTTTTTTTTCATAAATTTTTTTCAAAAATTGTGTTTTCTCGAAAATAAATAAATAAAAAAAGGAATATGTAAGAGGTTTTAAAGAAAATAATAAAATAAAAATGATTATATAAATAAAATTCATAGCCCAAAGAGATTGTTTTACAAAATATGAAACAAAATCTAAATCATATATTTATGTGCTACATTAAAAGAAGAGCAAAAACAGAGTAGAAACGGGAGCAACCTGCTAGAAAGGATGTTGTTTGAAATTTGTGTTCACTAGCATGATGGTTCATTAATAACGCAACATCTTCAAAACAAAACAACGAAATGGCTGTAACGAACGAGTAAGAAGGGCTATAAAAAGTCAAGTGAAACCATTTCTTAACTTTTTATGGGGTGGATAATTTCATCATAAAGCATTTTCAAGAATGTGTTAAGACTATTTTTTGTGTTACTGTTGTTTGCTGGGGTTGTAAGTTAAATTTGCACTGCTGATTGAAGAGTTGGATTGTACGTGAATGTTGATGTTGCGTTGTTGTTGTCGTTGTTATTATGTTGCAAATGTATTTTGTTGGTTTGTTGTTGTTGATGATGTTGATGTTGTCGGTGTATTGTTGAATAATACTGAGTTAAGTTGCAGTTTTGATGGTTCTACAATTAAAATTTTTCCAGTCGTTTAATAGACTAAGTATTGTGTTGAAAAAGGTTCTTGTATATGAAAGAAAATACATGATAAATTTGTTTTTTTTCAAATCTGAAGCCAATTTATTTCCTAATTAATAACTGCAGCCTGGCATAAATTGGCTTCCATTAAAAATGCAAACAACGAAATGGATGTGCAATTATTTTCAAATGCTGCTAATATTCTTTTTTTCATAATTTGTTTCTTTGTTGTTCGTTCGTTCGTTTGTTTGTTTGTTTGTTTGTTAAAAATTTAGAATATGTTTTCAAATTTGACCTGTTCATATTTTAAAATAAGATTTCTAAACTCAAATTTTTTAGTTTAAAACACATAAAATGACAAAATGGAATGCAAAATTTACAACGAAAACAAGACATTTTTTAATTTGTGGACAGGTTTCTGGATACATACATGTTTGTAGATATTTCTGGATACATACAAGTTTGTGGATTTTTCTAGACCTATCTATCTGGAGACATGTTTGCGGATTGTAAAGTGGAGTTCTCTAAGTGGGATCATTCGGTTTGTTACTTCTTACCAACCACCTCTTATCCATTCTTCCATTTTTTATCCATCAATTTATCCGAGGTGTTTCTGTGATGATGACGACGACAACAACGACGATGATGATAATGATGACGATGGGGATGATGGGGATAATGATGATGATGACGACGGAAAAACAATAATATCAAAAGTCAATATAGCGGTTTTATTTTGGCACTTATGCTTTCACGAAATTTGAAATTAAAAATAAATAAAATAAAAAAAAGACGAAAGAACGAAAATATAATTATAATGGAAACCGTTTTAATCTTAAGTTTGTAAGTAATCCAATCAAGAACAAACTTGTAACCTAGCAAATGATGCACCAACCAGCAAACAAACAAACAAACGAACCAACCAACCAACAGACAAACGAACAAACAAACGAACCAACCAACAGACAAACGAACAAACCAACCAACAAACAGCTCTAAAGAAATCAACTCATAAAAAAAACTAGCCAAACCCATTTTAGATACGAATTAATTCACAAATGTTATCACGGGTGTTTGCATGTTGGTTAGGCTGATTAGACTAGAAATGCGAAATGAAAGTAAAATGCCGGTAAGATGTTTGATTATAATTAACACATGTTCACATTTTTGTTCAAAAAAAATTGTGAAAATAAATTTGCTTGTTGTTTTTTTTAATGGACGAAGAAATGGGGCAGAGCCGGCGTTTTATTTTTTTGAATTTATTTTCAAAGTGTCATAGAGAGGACACTCCCACTTTGAAGAAAAATGTTACTGTACTACTAACTCACAACTAACACCTGCACACGGTCATTTTGTTGCTAATGCGCATCACCTCCGTCACCATCCAATCAACCATCTTTTAAAAATTATCCCCACTAGTGAAATAATGACAGTGGTTGCACATCATGATGTGTGATATCTGAAGAGATACACGACATACACGCGTAGAAAAGTCACAGAGAACTTACACCATCACACCACACACTACCACACGACCACGCCACACATTACCACACACTATCACACCACACATTACCACACACCACACCACACATTACCACACACCACACCACACATTACCACACACTACCACACTACACATTACCACACACCACCACCACCACACCACCTGGTTGTGTGTAGCCTCATTGTTTTCTACCTTCTACCGCATAGACTTCATTAATATCGAACAACATAGTCTGCATGATAAGGTGTGTGCTTGCATACTTACACACACACACACACACACACAGACATAGAGACTTCAAGCACACACACACCACACGCACACGTACATAGTATGCATGTATACATGCATGTATATGAATGTATAATTCTCCAAGCAAGGCTGATGTATGTGAGTAAACCAGTGTTTTTTTATTTATTAGATCTTTGTAGGCTACACGATTAACTGGATCAGAATATAAAAGATATCAACAATATATTATGTGTGCTTACGTGCTCAAACCTGTCAATGAAATTATATACGTATATAGATTGATGTACGAACAAGCTTGTTATACATTAAATACATCGTTTTGCATGCTGATTTGCATGTGTATGAGTTGTACGCTTGTGTATTGGTCTGCATGTCAGTTTGTATCTAAATGTACGTTGCAATGTGTCTATAGTTAAATAGGCTTCATACTCCCCAGACATACATAACATAACTTACTAAGGATAAATTATAAATTTTAACTACAATTATAAATATTCTTAAGATTATGTAAGTTGAATGCTTGTTTATTTACTTAAATATAATTAACATTATTTATTTGATAATATTCTAATATATAACACTGAGTAACTTATATAACAGCTTCAGAATTTGCCTAGATTGTAGTTGAGCAGAGCACTTGTATTTGAATTATGCAGATGAGATTGTAAAGGGTAGTAAGGTACCAGTAAGGTACCCTCGGGAGGTCCAGGAACTGAACTTAAGTGCTCGTCATCATCTACCAATCTCAAGTGGATTAATTTACGTAATATGAATCTAAATTGGGAAAAGTGTACCACTAAATGTGTGGGTGGGTGTTTCATCATTTCACTCACACACATACACACACAAACATACATACACACAGACACATACACACACAACATAAACACACGCAACACACATTCACAAACACACACACATAGACACACAACACACACACAATTCAAACACAACACACATACAATAGTTTGTTGCTGATGATGACGACGATGATGTTGTTGTTGATGATGATATAAAGTGTATAACATTAAAAAAAGTAATTAAGAGATGAGAAACATGAGTATAGACATGATGAACATGATGGTCTAAACATATAGGGAGAGCGATACAGTCCTAATTCCTGTCAATAGAATGACGAATTGCTGAAATGCTTGGTTAACATGAAGAAGACGATGATGAAGATGATGATGAAGACGATGATGGAGATGATGATGAAGATGACGATAGTATCTGTCAACCTCATCATCTTCTTCATCATCATCTTTACTTTAATTAGCTTAATTTTCGTCTCATCATCCAAATCCATTTCCATGTCATCATAGTTATCATGTTATCATTGCATATCATGACTGTTACGAATGCTTCCAGATTTTAAGTTCCGTTAAGTTATATCATTTCTATGATTTTTCTGAAGTCGACTTCATCGTCATCTTCACCATCATCATCGTCATTATCTTCCCCATCATCATCGTCTTCATCATCATTTTCATTGTCATCTTCATCATCATCATTGTCATTCTCGTCATCTTCTTCTTCTTCATCGTCCTCATCATCAACCTCATTTTCTATGATTGTTAGTTAGGTTATTATTAATATTTTCATTTAAATTTTTATTATGTATTTTTTTCTACCTTGCATCATTTTTTGGAAGACTTCAATCAGCCAACAATCAGCATTTGTACGGTAGCCAAGAACAACTTTGTCATCGTAGTTTCTAAATTTATCTAATAATAATAATTCTAAATTTATCTAATAATAATAATAATTATTATTATTATCATTATCATTATCATTGCAACTCTATGTTTATCATAAAATTTGACTGATAAGGCCAAAATAATAAGAATGACTGAACCCCAATTGAACCAACCGCCTCTCTGAAATGTACTCACTCGCAGTGACGAGCATTTTAGATTAATAGGATTTTATAATTTTATTTCATTATTGATGTTTGGTATTTGGAGTTAGAAAAATAAAAGAATGTTCTCACTATTATTATTATTATTATTATAATATTATATTATTATTATTATTATTGCGTAAACTATTTTTAAAATATATTTCTTACTCCTATGCACTTACCTTTGGCAAGGAGCATGAGAGGACCGTGCATAACAATATTAACAATTTATTGCAATATTAACAATTTATTTTATTTTATTTTATTTCATTTTATCTATTTTGATTTGATTTTATGTCTTCTGCAATAATAAAAGAGTTCAAATTATTATTATTGTTGTTGTTGTTGTTGTTGATGTTGTTATTGTGATCATCATCTTCTTCACCATTTTGTCATCCTTACCGCATTTTTGTTGTATTTATTTAGTAATCGTCACTATCATCATCACCATCGTCATCACCTTCCTCCCCAACATCATTATCATCATCATCGTCAACCCTCTTCATCATCACCACCTTCATCATCATCATTATCATAACAGCATCTTCATCATTATCACCATCGTAGTCGTCATCGTCATCATCACAGTCACTTTGCAATCCTTCCTAGCCTTGTTATGTGAACTTAATTATACGTAATGTGTATTGTTTTTAATGGGGTTTTAAGCTGCCCTATCAGTATTCAAATTACATCATCATCATCATCATCTCTCATCATCATCATCATCATCATAATCTCTCATCATCATCATCATCATCTCTCATCATCATCATCATCTCTCATCGTCATCATCATCATCATCATCTCTCATCATCATCATCATCTCTCATCGTCATCATCATCATCATCTCTCATCATCATCATCATCATCTCTCATCATCATCATCTCTCATCACCATCTCGTCATCATCACCATCTTGCCGTCATCATCATCATCTCCTGCCATCATCATCGTAATCATATCATCAAAGTTACCATCATTATTACCATTATCACCATCAGCATCATAAAAAAGTTTTGTAATAGGAGCCCAATTGTTTCGCTTGATATTGGTTAATTGATGTTATATGTACTGTAAAAAAGTTGACGATAGACAAAAACAGCAACACAACAACAACAACACAACAACAACAACAACATTAATAACAACACAACACTGACCCAACAATGAAACTGCCACAACGTCATCATCCACAACAACAATATAGTAAACAACAACCACAACAATAAAACAACAACAACAATGCAACAACCACAACAATGCAATAACCACAACAATGCAACAACCACAACAGCATAAACAACACACAACAACGTCAACTAAAAAATAATAACACAACACCGACAAAAACAACCACAACAGCAACAACCACAACAACAACAACGAAACCAATCAATATCGTTCATTCGAACTCCACCCAAAACACGTTTGCACCCATCTCAATCCAGATACTTCCACCGAGATGAGGTACGAAATACGAACCACACTCACGTGCGCTTTGTGTATGTGTGTGTGCATGTGTGTGTGTGTACGTGTGTGTGCGTGTGTTGATAATCAATATAGAGAAAGATTAAATAATAATAACAATAGCAATAATAGCACGAAGTTTAAAGTTGCTTTCAACGATTCGTCGTGTTAGAAATCATTCGCTGATTTGGTAATTTGCTGGAGAGCTTTGTACGTAATCCAACAAACGAAGGAGGACACACACCGCAAGAAGCACACGCACGCACGCACACAACTCACTCGCACACACGCTACACACAGCCGTGTACACTAATAAATCTCATGGCACGCCATCTTCCATGTGTTTGTACACTGTCGACTGATTATTTATTACTTCCTCTCCGAACAACCTCTTCCATCGAATTTTCGCCTCCATTTCTCTTCATTTTTTATAATTTGTAACTTAACCACGTCACCAAAACCATACTCCTCCTCATCATCATCATCAATATCCTCATCATCATCATTAATATCATCATCATCATCATCAATATCATCCTCCTCTTCCTACTCCTCCTCCTCCTTCTCATCATCATCAATGTCATCATTAACATCATCACCATCTCCACGATTGCTTCTATTATTACAAGCATCAGTATGCAGGTGGTTGCGATATATTTGTTTCTGCAAAATTTTTTAATTGCAAGAGAAGCTAGAGAGCTGGTAATGTCTTGTGAGTGTTTGGGGTTGAATTGTTTAACTTTACAACTAATACATTACTTTTATTTAAAATCACAACATTCAAACTCTAGGCCGGTTGAGAATTATGATTCAAAACTTTTAGCATCGTTAGTACGACAGTTTTTATTCTAACGCTTCGAACTCTTGCACATGATTCGCATTAGAGAATTAACATTCAAAGACTTAGATTGCAATAGCAATGACGCTAGATAATGTAGAACAAAACAGAATCTCAATCATACAACTTTATCTTCTGCTCTGAAACTTAGTTGAATAAGAAGTTGAGTGGCTTTAAAAGTGAGTCCCACCAGATGTTATTATCTGGTAAACGAAAAATCTAAAGGTATCTTGTGAAACATTAAACAAATCCAATGGTAAACTATGAATGAATGAATCACTGTGAGCTCATAACATGCAGAACAAAGTGGAAAATTATAAATGTCACTAATAAGTTTCAAAAGTGTCGAATATACTACCTTTAAAATGTTTGTGTCTTGTTTGTGCTACAAAGCTTCAAGTTATTTCAGTCGTGCAATTCAGTCATCACAACGTAGAATGAGCTAGTTTAGTCCGTTCAATTGTTTATTCTCCCAGATATATTACGAAAACATTTTCAAATGATTGACTTCTGCAATATTTGAATCAAAATTTGGCATTAAATATAAAGACATTAACAGATCTGATTGTTTTCAAATCAAGCATCAACCTTAAATGTTTATTTTAAAAATCATCAAATCGTTAAATTGACAAATGTGCGATACAAAGGACAGCAGAATAGAATACTTTTCATGTTACTATACTTATAAATTTGTGTTACAAACTTCTACAGAGTCAAGTCGACGAAATTTGTGTTGTACCCTGCTAACAGTTGTTTTTAAGCAGCTACCCTATGACCTGTCATTTGAATGCTACGGTCCGTTGTGGAGCTCTTTGTATTGGAGGTCGGTGGGTCTGGGTTAAGTTATTATGTTGGTGAGTCTGTGTTTGTGTGCGTGTATTTCTGTTTGTGTGTGTGCACGTGTGCATATGTGTGTGTGTGTGTGGTGTGTATAAATGTTTTGCGTTTATAATTTTTTATTATACTAAACAAGTTTTTGTACAATCATTTAGAATAGATTGATTTTTATTGATGAGAATTCATTTTTAAAATAATCCTATTTATTTCCCAGATACTATCAGTCAGTCTGCAAAAACTACAGTGCATTACGTAGTCTAAATTTGGAAAAGAACAACTGCACCGGTATGTAAATAACGAAGAATAATCTACCAGTTTTTTAAACAGAAAGTTGGAAATAACTTAAAAATTGAGAATTCCGGTTACCACGCATAACTGCACGCAACAATAACGACCGCAAACAAGCACACAATTGCAGCAAACCAAACCGTGCGTCGGTGAACAGTTTAAAATTAAATTTAGCATTTGAAAAATAAACTAAATCAGTCAGTTGGTGAAATAAAATTTTTGCTGATGCTAACAAAAATGCATCCACAAATTAAAATCACATCATTTCGTTAAGAAAACCAACTTGAATGATTTAACAAAGCGTGAAAACTCCGCCAGCTTTCTTTTTCATTATTTTTGTTAAATCAAAATTTGACATTCGCAGAAACTGTTGCAATAAGCAGTACAATATTATAAAATTTATAAAATGAGGAATACAAACAACGGAGTAAGATTGTTTAATCATGGAAAATAAACATTTGAAGAAGCAATCCACCAAAGCAGAAACGAACCATTCCTTTCAATCAACATTCACGCTGACCAGATGATGCGAACCATCTTCTGCATTGAGTGATTGCTTCGTTCCTGTGCAGTGCATCTCCTTAAAATGCAAGCAACCTACTCACAATTTCTTCCATGCACTCCCATGTTATAAACTAAACACATACACCACACAAACACACACACACACACACACACACACACAGACCACACACTCTCTCTCACACATACACCACACACACACACACACACACACACACACACGCACACAGACATTACACACAGACTCTCTCTCTCTCTCACATACACCACACAATCTCTTTCACACACACACCACACATGCATAGAGGCTGTTGTATGCTAACATTTTCACACATACATTCCCTGACACGCACACGAAAACGCGTTGATCCATAGAGTTTTACATAAATGCCGATTGGAGCACAAGAAAGATGGAAAGATGACATGATCGATCTGTAGAGGACTTAAGAAAAGACACGTAAAATAAATATTTAGATCTAAGATTCATGATTCTGTGGCGTGATTGATGGGACGGCGTTGTTGATACTATTGTGAGAATGTGATTGGTGATGTTGGTGATAAGTTTTTGATTGATGAGATTGCATGGTTGACGAGTGGATTGACGAGATGACTGACGAGATGACATTTCAGAAATGACTGCAGGAATGCTACTTAACGTGCGCAAGCTGATGCGTTTGCGTGAGTCAGATGGACCATGGATCAGCAAACAGACAGGAAAATATTCCATAAGCATGCAGATATTCAACTAACGACAATGAACTCCACTGATGGCATTGCATTCTTAAAATGAAGATTTTACAATCAAGAAATTTTATTATATCATCTAGGCCTATTTTTTCATGAAATGTTAAACTAACAACACAAAATTTTTAACTCTCCTAAAAATATATTTCCATGCAACATACTGAATCCATATATTTTCCAAATGAACCTAAATGAGAAGTACTTGAAGCAACACATATCAGCATGCAATTGCAAGTGAGAGAGTTAGTAGAACATTAGAGGAGGCAGAATTGTTGCCAGTTGTGCCTCATTCATATTCATTGACTCTTCAGTATGAAAGAATTAACTACTACTGCTGCTACAACTTCTACTACTACTACTACTACTACTACTACTACTACTACTACTACTACTATTACTACTCTTGTTATTACTATATCTACTATTACTATTACCACCACTATTACTAATGTTACAAGTACTTAAATTACTACTACTAAAACTACTATTTTTTGCTACTACAGCCGCGGCCACCAC